CTTAAATTTGGGGGTTTTGATTTTTTGAGTTCTTTATATATTCTAGATAGTAGTCCTTTATCTGAGGAACAGCTGGCAAAATTTTTTTTCCCTCTCTGTGGGTTGTCTCTTCACTCTGTTGGTGGTTTCTTTTGTTGTTCTGATGTTGAGCCATCCCTGCATCCCTGGGATGAATCCTGCTTGGTCATGGTATATAATCTTGATGATCTGCTGCATTGTTTGCCAATATCTTACGAGGATTTTTGTGTCTGTGTTCATTAGGGAGATTGGCCTGTAGTTCTCTTTTTTGGATCTTTCTCTGTTTTTAGTATCAGAGTAATGCTTGCATCCAGGAATGACTTTGGGAGTATTGCTTCCCTTTCTGTTTCACTCAAAAGTTTGAGAAGTATTAGGTCTTCTCTAAATTTCTTGTAAAATTCGGCAGTAAATCCATCAGGGCCTAGGCTTTTCTTTTTGTTTTTTTGTTTTTTTGTTTTTTTTGTTTTTTTCCCTCCGGTACCGGGAACCAAACTCACGACCTTGCGCTTGCCAGGCAGGCGCTTTGCCGCTGAGCTAAATCCCCAGCCCCTAGGCTTTTCTTTGTTAGTAGATTTTTAATTACATCTTTAATTTCATTGAGTGATACTGGGTTATTTAGAACTTGTATGTCATCTTGATTTAGCTTTAATAATTCATATGTGTCTAGGAAGCTGTCCGTTTCTTCTGTGTTTTCCATCTTTTTAGAGTATAGACCTCTTTGTGTGTGTGTGTGTGTGTGTGTGTGTGTGTGTGTGTGTATGTGTTTGAGACAGAATCTCACTATGCAGTTCAGGCTTTGAGCTCACTTTGTAGCCCAGGCTGGTCTCGAACTTGCAATAATCCTCCTGCCTCAGCCTCAGTGGTGGAATTACAGGTGTTGTGCCACCACACCTGGTTTAGAGTATAGATTCTTGAGGTAGGTATTGATCCTCTGGATTCCTGCAAGATCTGCTGTGGATTTCACTTTTTTTTTTCCCCCTGGATTTGAGTCTTTTCTTTCCTTTTTCTGGTAGGGTTGGTTTGAAATCCACTCTGTCTGCAAATAGATTACTTACCCTTCTTTTTTCCATATTACTGTCCTGTGGAGTATTGTTTTCCATCCTTTGACTTTCAGTCTGTGAATTTCTTTTTGACTGCTACAAGAAGGACTATACCAGGAACTATAAACAAGAAAACATTTTTATTTTTGTTTTGTTTTGTTTTTTTTTTTGGTGCCAGAAATCAAATTCAGGATCTTGTACTTGCCAGGCAGGCGCCTGTGCCACTGAGCTATATCCCCAGCAAGAAAACATTGTTAAATGATGACCTTGAAATATGATCTTTTTTGAGCTTTTGAATGGAGCAAATAAATTATATGTATACATTATATTCTAGGTATTTAGCTGTTGGACTGAAGTTACTTTATAAGAGTGTTCAGACTTGTAAAAGAATGCATTGGCCTCACAAGTTTATTGAGCAAAGGTGTTTGGTTCTTTACAGTTCTTAGTTACGGCCCTCTGGTGAGCATGGACTGTGGCAGTAAAGTCTAACCCTCCCTCAGACTCCTGTCTTAGACTTCAGAGTTACCCGATCATTAAGAAGAATTGCATCCATTATATTTGCACTGTTCAATACGGGGGCCACTAAAAATGGGGATATTGAGTGCCTGAAATGTGGCTGGATTGAGATGTAACATATGTATACTTTACTTGGGGTATCACAGGTTTAGTATTAAATGAAAATTTCTTTTAGGAATTTTTACATGTTGAAATAGATTAAGGAATGTATTCAGTCAATTCTGTCTGCTTTTTACTTTTATAATATGTGTAACAGATTATTAGAACTTACACGGCTTGTGTTGTTTCTGTTGAAGTGTGTAAGATACGCAGTTCTTTGGGAGTCTGAGAGGAGAGAAAACCAACAGGCGGTTAGGAGTGTAGTAAGCGAGAGAAGAGCTCGGGGGAGGATGCTGCCCCTAAGGCAGCATCAGGCCTGCAGAGGTCCCCTACAAAGTTAGGGTACTACTTAGCTTTTCTTTTACCTCCTTTGGAGGTCTCTTAGGTTTACTTTTGGGGTGGAAAGAAATAAAGGAAAGATAAACATTAAAAAATTATTTTTTGAAAGTTATTTTTAAGGGTATTGATTCTCAGTTTAGTGAGACAAATCAAGGTTGAGGAAGAAGGCCTGAATCTAGTTACAGAGGCCACTACTGTTACCAGTTGAATGTATGGAGCTGGAGTCTAAGAAAACCTTTGGCTAACAGTGTAAATTAAAGTTAATCTAAGTCATGGGTAGACACGTGATCATCCCAAGCTGAGTAATTGATGAGTCTAAGATACACCCTAGAGGAGCAGGGAAGGCAAGGAAAGAGGCATAACCTCGGGGGGCGGGAAGGAGTCCCGCTAAGACAGTGTGATTTGAAGAAGCAGTAGGAACGCCTGTCTATGGACAGCGTCGAATGTGGCTAAGAGGTTAAAAGTGAGACTGTTGTGGTCAATAATGTGCGAGAGCTGGTTTGCTGGGAGGGCTTTGGTTAGATAATGAAGCCAGACTGCAGGAGGTTGAAGGATTAACGGGAAGTGAGGAATTTAAGAAAACTTACTGTCGACAGAGAAAGAGGTAGGGGGACGCAGGAGGACTTTTTATAGCTGTTGGAGGATATGTATTTAGCATGTGACACCGTGCAGTGTGTGTGTGTGTGTGTGTGTGCGTGCGCGCACGCTCAGAGTTTTACTTCCCCTAGAGAGATGTTTCTGTATTTGCATTCTTGGAATATAGTATAGCATTCTTCACAAGTTAATTAATTATGCAGTAACAGTTGCTCGAGATTTTTAATTTATTTAATACTTTTTTAAAAAATAAGATTCTTTATCAGCATCATTTACATATAACCCTAAGCATTAAGTCTGTGTAAGGACTTAATATTTTCCTAGTTTAAATGCGATGTGGACCTTCAGCATGGCTTAATGGTAAGGGAATGAATGGGCTTTGGAGTGTACAGTTGTAATTTAAATTCAAACTCTGGGATTTTATTTTTTTTATTTTGTTTTTATTTTAAAGAGAGTAGTAAATGAGAAGCAAACAAAAAAAAAAAATAGAACAATAGCAGCATACCAGTATCACAAACATAAATCAAAGCAAGAACATTCAAAGTGATATGGGCTCTCAAGACAAAATAATACAAATCAGTAGTGGTTGTTACATTACATATCGCTATCCTCAGCTACATTGCTCAGATTACCAGATGTAAGAATGAAAGATTGCTCAAAGCATTAAAGAGAATAAGAAAGTAATTCTTCAATAAAACATCAGAGATAATACAGAGTTTCACTACACAAGATGGTAGGAGTTCACCATTGCAATTCCATTGCATATTGTTACCTTCAAATCAGTTGCTCAGACCACCAGACACAAGCATGCAGTTGATCAGAACGTAAAAAATTGTGAGCATTAACTGTTCATTTCAGTACACCATCAGACAACAGCAGTACAGTCATCGCAGCTATTCATACATGTATTTATGTTTTGCCTGCCTTCTTTCTTTTTTCTTCTTTCCCTCATCCCAGTCGTTCCTTCCTTTGAGCAGTTTCTTTCCCTTTCCTATCATCTATTGTACGTTTTGAGTTTTACATAGTCTTTCAGGTTCCTATACCAAGGAGACAATATGATGTTTACACGTGTGGGTCTGATTTATTTCACTTATGAGTATGGTCTCTAGTTGCATCCATTTACCTACAAAAGCCTAGAGTTTATCTTTTTTAATAGCTGAGTAATACTCCATTGTATAAAGATACCAGCTTTCTTACCCATTCCTGAGTGGATGGGCATGTGGGTTGTTTCCAAGATTTAGCTATAACAAATTGTGCTGCTATAAACATGGGTGCGCATATATCGCTGTGGTATGATGTCTTTAATTCCTCCGGGGAAAATACCCAGAAAGGGAATATCTGGGTTAAATGGGACTTCTAATCCTAGTTTTGTGAGGAATCTCCAAATTGATTTCCACAGTGGTTTCACCAATCTACACTCCCACCAGCTGTGGAGTAGGGTTCCTTTCTCCCCACAGCCTCTCCAGCATTTGTTATTGGGTGATTTCTTGATGATAGCCATTCTTTCTGGGTGAGGTGGAAACTCAGTGTTGTTTTAATTTGCATTTCTCGAATGACTAATGATTTTGAACATTGGATCTTCAGGTCTGTTTTTGTGCCAATACCATGCTGAGTTTATCACAGTAGCTTTGTAATATAATTTAAAGTCAGGAATTGTGTTGCCTCCTGCCTTTCCTTTGTTTCCCAAGATTACTTTTGCTATTCTAGGCCTTTTCTGGTTCCAGATGAACTTTAGGAGTGTTTTCTCTAGATCTGTGAGGTATACGAATGGTATTTTAATTGGGATTGCATTGAATTTGTACAACAATTTTGGGAGTATGGCCATTTTCACAATGTTGTTTCTTCCTATCCTTGAGCAAGGAATATCTTTCCATTTTCTGATATCCTCTTCAATCTCTCTTTTTAGAGTACTTTAATTTTCACTGTGTAGATCTTTTACTTCTTTTGTTAGATTGATTCCTAAGTATTTCATCTTTTTAGATGCTATTGTGAAAGGTGCGGTTTCCTTAATTTCTCTCTTGATCTGTTTGTTACTTGTGTACAGGAATGCTATTGATTGGGATTTTTGTTACATGATCTTGAGCACTTTAGCCTCTTCTGATTGCTGAAGTGAAGATATCATACCTTATTATTAGGCTTGTTACAGATTCAGTGTAAAAGTGAAAACAGTTTTTTGTATACATTTAAAGGTGTTTTGATATTGAAACAGGTGCTTAGTAAATGGCAACTTTACATGTTATACATCTAACACTTATTTTTTTATTATCTGATTTAAAGTAGTATATGTGATATGACATTATAACTTTAATACCAGGCATACTCAGGTGAAATTTGAATGAAAAATTAGCCTTTGAATTTAAAAAAATATGTTTTTGTTTCTCCCCTTTAATCCAGGTCCTGAGGGAGTCTAACAAATTAGCAGAAATGGAAGAACCACCCTTGCTTCCAGGAGAAAATATTAAAGACATGGGTGTGTAATGGTATTTTTTGTTTAATTCCCTGCCCTCCCTCTTTGCGAACTGCCCAGTGTTGTCAGCACGCAGAATAAACTGGCCTCGGAGGCGCCTCTCTTCTGGCTGCACTTACTCACTGCCCTTCCTCACTTACTGTAGCCTTGCAGCATGCGCTGTGAGACTGGGTCTGCACCTTTTGGTGATGTACTTAATTGAGTTACCGGGAGAGTGTACATTGAATTCTGTTCTTTGGCTTTTTAAATTTTCTTTGAAAGGAGGTGGCTTTTTTTTTTAACTGTTGCTAAATTCTGTGAAGGAAAATATTATTTTATTGCATTCATATATTGGGTTGCTTAGACAAAGGCATTAAATTGTCACTTTACTTTACAGTACTGAAGATCAAACCTAGAGCCTTTACACTGAAATTCATTCCTAGCCTGTTTTAGTTTTAGAGACAGTCTTTGTAGTTTTGAGACAGTTGCTGAGTTGCCCAGGCTGGGCTCAAACTTGGATCCTCATGCCTAAGCCTTCTAGCAAACCTCCCAGGCATGCGCCCGCACTCTGGGCTTGTCACTTTCTACAAATAGTTCAAAACATACCTAGTGCTTTGCCTCTTTTATGTTTTTCTTTCAATAGACTCAGGTCAGAAACAAGCATTGCACCAGGCATGGTGGTGCACGCCTGTTATCCCAGCATTCAGGAGAGTGAGGCAGGAGGAGATCATGGCCAGTCTGGGCTGCAAAGTAAGTTCAAGGCCAGCCTGAACTGCATAGTGAAACCCTGTCTCAAAACAAAACAAAACAAGCATTGCAAAACAAGTCATTGATTTGTGAATGTCTTTCTCTGTCTCACCTAATACTTGTAGTATGAACTGGAAATTTAAAATGAGCATGTAGCATGTATTTTTCTCCTTATGCTTTTGCTTTGTTGTGATAAATCTACAGAATAGTAATAGCTTTTGAGAAGTAATGTTAGTAGGTTGAAGTAAGTGAATTTTTAGGCAAAATAGATAGCGTCTTTCACTTATTTGTAATTTTTCAAAAGGACGTCATAAATTGTCTTCCCTAGCTAAATATCATTTTCTTGTGCAAAGTTGAGCAAGCCAAAGGAGTGCGTGAACTACTCTAAATGGGTTGTTCCTAGCTACTCGATGTAGCTTCTTAGTGCTTAGCATTTTCTTCTTGTTCTTGACACATAGATAACCTCTTCAGTTTTTTTCTTACTCAGTCTTACGTGTAAGCCTCAGTGTGTTTAACTACTTGTGAGCTAGAGATATGCATAGTATTGTATAGTGATGGTGTGTAACAGGTGCAGTTATTTGTATGTAACTGTGAGATAGTAGTTATTACTGTGTGCCATCTCATTGTCATCCTCAGATAATATTCTAAGGGAGGTATTAGCCCCATTTGGTAGACAAGGCATATGGTGATTACTTAGCTAACCAGGTAGATCTAGCAGTGCAGTGTTTTCTTTTTTACTGTTCAGAACCTAAGCCCTGTGCTGCTCCACTGCGATAGGAGCTTATCAAAGACTTGCAAGTGAGTGTCTGTCTCTTTCATTTGCTCCTCTTCATTTAGGGTCAGCATTCTCTAGGACTTCGTCTTGGACCCAGCTTCCTCTCTCTTACATACTCTTTTTTTGTTTGTATTTGAGATAAGGTCTAACTATAGTTGAGGCTGAACTTGAACTCACTGTGTAGCTCAGGCCGGTCTGAGATCCTCCTGCCTGTTTCTTGTGAGTGCTGGGATTACAGGCATGCACCACCATGCCTGGCCTGTTACATGGCCTTTTAAATTGATCGTGTCTAAATCAGTGACTTTATGTACAATATATTGGTTGATGACTATAAAATTTGTATTTCTAGTTTGGACCTCTGTTGTAATGCGTGTAAGGAGATTTCTGTCGTAGGCACATGCACTTCGCTGTTCTGTGCCGTATAGTATACAGCAGTGTAATGTCCAAGGTCTCCAAACTAAAATCATCACCCTCACCTCTATCCTCATATGTGCTCTTTTTCTTGCATTTCTCTTAGTTGACAGCAGTTTCTCTGAGCTGACATCAGTCTCAGTTGTTCATTCACTTAGGTCAGAAATCTAGTTGTCCTTTTTGGCTGCTCTTTTAAATTCCAAACTCTTAATATCCAACCATCTACCAGATCTGGAGGAGCTAACTGCAAAGAATTTTGTAAATTTATCTTCCCTCTGTTTTCATAACCTTGATATAACGTTTATATATATTGAAGTGAGGGATTTGAGAAACAGGGCATCCCACCTAGGATCTTCTGCATGCTGCGCAAGGCTTCTACCACTGAGCCCCCCTACTGGAAAAGCAGTGGTACTTTGATTCACAAACTTCTTTTCATGATTCTCGTCACAGACCAGATTGGACTAGAACCAAGTCAAATTTCCCCATAAGGTCAACAGTGTAGCTGACCACTGAGTTTGATTTGGTTCTTACCCAATGCCACTTGTGACCAGGATCGTGGAACATACTCAGCGTGTGAACCGAGGTGCCTCTGTATCTGATGATGACACATTTGGACCTGGTTCATATTGAGGACTCATCGTCACGTGGATATCAGTTAAAGGCAGGAGAAAGAAGACTCAGAAAGGGGGTGGAAAGAGAAGAGGGTCCAGAGCGCAGCTTTGGTGAACGCTAACTCTCACAACTACATGGGGACTAAGGAGGGGAGGTGAGGAGTGGAGGGAGTGTAGTGTAAGAGAAATCTGGTGGAACCAGACTGGATTCTACCTTTGTCAGAATGTGTGCTTTACTATGCAAATTCTGTAGTTTGGGCTAAGTTCTTTTCATCAGCGCTTTGTCAACATCTCTGCTTATCTAAAGGTTACCTGCCGTTGAGAAAAATTCCAGTGCCTATATTCCTTGGACCCTTCTCTGACCCTATGACTGAATAGCCTTTCCCATCGCTGCATACTTTGAGCATTTTTTCTCTTTTTGCAAGATCACATGCTTTCATGAGTTAATTTGCCTGTGTTTATTGTCTTTCTCATGGCTGTGCATTTCCCAAGGTAGGTTTGGTTTTTCCGCAGAGAAACCAAATGTGTTCTTCCTCGGTGATGCCCGTGAAGCTTTGAGACGATCAGTACGCCTGACTTGCTTGATACCAGTCCATCTGACTTGCTAAATGTTGCTTGTTGCAACATTTAGAATAATATAAAATATAATTTTAAATTCCCTAATTTAAAATCATCTGTACAGACTTGACTATGGTGCAGAAATTAAATTTAACAGAAAAAGTGCTATAAGGTTAGGATAAACTTTGATAACTTCATGGAAAAAGATCTTGGGTTTTAAATTGGCATAATATAAATCTGTAGTTTAGAGTTCTTAAAAGAAACAGTTAAAATCATGTTAGGAACATCAACAGAATGTCTTAGGAAATAAAGCGTATTGTGGCCTGACCGCCTCAGGAACAGAAGTGATTTACAGTGTAGCAATTTAACCTGTAATTCAGGAAGCAGATGTTAAACAGACTGTGCTGTTAGAGGCTTAGCCTTGCCATGTGAGGTATTGTGGAGAAAGGTCTTTGGTCAGAGGAACTAGATCGAAGCCTTCATCTTAACACTGGTTCTGAAACGTTGGGTACTTTACTTCACTTTTCTGTGCTCTGATTTTCTTACATAAAATTGTAGATAAATGTATTCCTATATTTAAGAGTTGTTCAGGCTGAAATACTCAAATGAAAAGTACTTCACAAACTTGTGCTTGGTCCCTGTGCTAGTTGTTTAGTCATTTGCTCTGTAAGGAACTTGGTCATCGAGGGTCTCCCTTCCATTGGTGCAGACTGGCTTGGCATTTTCTCGTGAGAATGACTTAGCATTGGGAGGAATGAAGAACAGAGCTTTAGCAGCGGTGACGGTGGTGACGTAGGTGTAACCCTGGCATTTACACAGTGCCTTCAGTTTGAGAAGCATTTCCATGTGTAGTGACTCATGACACGAGAATGAAGAAAAGGGAGTCTAAATGCACTGGAAGAAGAGGGGCACATCCTGACGAGGGTTATAGGGTGATAAAACTGATTTTTCTTGTATGAGCAAAAGCTGGCTCTAGATGGAATGCAGAAATACTTGTAGAGATGTTGGATAAAGCTGTCCTAGTTGATGTAAACATTCGTAAGCACAAAAGAATATGTGTGTAAGCAAGTCTGTATGTATATTTGTATAATGATGAGTTTATTTAATTTTAAAAGCTTCCCTCTAAATGACACATTCATTAGAAACAGTGGTTTAAAAATGTAGCTCATACTTGCACATTCCTGAGGGAACTGTTTTGAATGTTAGAAGTGACTGTTAAATAATTGGTCTCATTTCAAATTCCATGCAAAGCAGCAAGTCTTTTACATGATGAATAAAGAGCAAAGTCAGGAAATTACAGTATCTTACTAACTCTGTTCCATGGCTCTAAGTTTTCCCAGAAGTCCCTTGAAAGGTTCTTAGGAAGTTGTTCCTCCACAAAATTATATCTTTATTTGCTTGTAATGAGGAAGATACTTCTTTATATGCTGATTTGCCACAATAACAGCGTAGTGGAAATATTTTAAGATATGAAAACTTGTACTGGTCTTTATGAACTCGGCCATTTCAATAAATATTTTGAGCTAGTGGTTGATGAATTATCCTGCCTAATCAATTAATGCACTTTAATCATTTCTCTACAGAGTTGATGGTCAGCAATATAATATCCTTTTAGCATGTCTTTAAAGGAAATTATATTTTATGCACATTTTATTCCTTTTTTGTTTTTGTTTCTGTTTTTTGGTCTTTTTAAGACAGGGTTTCACCATGTAGTTCAGGCTGGCCTTGAACTCACTTTATAGCCCAAGCTGGCCTCAAACTTGCAGTGATCCTCCTGCCTCGGCCTCCCCAGTGCTGGGATTTCAGGCATGTGCCGCCACACCTGGCTATGTGTTTTATTTCAACTGCAATAATTTCCCTAAAAACATATCAGCAGTTTCTGGCATTATATATGATTTGAGTTTTACATTTTTAAAGATATATTGATAGACTGGACAGTGGCCAAGAACCAGGCGATGGATGATGTAGAAACTGTGATAAAGAGAGGTCTGACTTCCTTGATGCGTGCAGTGTCATTCCCACCATCACCAGCCCTCCTCCACCCTTCCGCTGCAGCCATCACACTTGTGTTTCCCGGTAGGGATAGTCCTCATCTGTGCGTCCTTCTGCTGTGATAGCCCTGTGCATCTTTAGTCCTTCCCACTTATTCTGCATTCCTTCCCCAGGTCAGTGCAGGCTAGGAGCGTGTAACAGGCTACTGAAGTCCCCTGGAAACATTAATTGTTATTTTTTAAAAAGCATAAATTAAAATAGCAGAATAATTTTAAAAGATGAAGAGGCTGTTTCCAGTACACAGTATAAATGGTGGATGTTTTGCCTTTTTAGCCAAAGATGTAACTTACATATGTCCATTCACTGGTGCTGTCCGAGGAACACTGACTGTCACGAATTACAGGCTGTATTTCAAAAGCATGGAGCGGGTAAGACTTGTTGGATTAAATGTTTTGTATATATGTGTGTGTTGTTTATAACTAGTGTTGTTCACCTGTGATTGTTTTTAGTTAAAGAATTTCTCATTAAGATTGCTGAACTTTTGTGTGTGTGGTGCTAGAGATCAGACTCATGAGCTCACGAACGATGGGCAGACACGACCCTGAGCTCCGTGTGCAGTGCTCTGGTGAAGATTTCTAACTGCAGTTACAATTGTGTAGTATCAGTTGCTCAGTTTTGTTTTTTTCTTTCCTTCTTTCAGGACCCCCCGTTTGTTTTAGACGCTTCTCTTGGTGTGATAAGTAGAGTAGAAAAAATTGGCGGTGCTTCTAGCCGAGGTGAAAATTCTTACGGATTAGAAACTGTGTGCAAGGTACCTGTTACAATGTGTGTGCTACTTTATTTGGTTTTAAAAGCTGCTAAATGGACCCTGTATTTGGAAACTAATTTCTGAAATAGCAGATGGATTTCATGACTACAAGTACCACTCTGGGGGAAGACAACATTTACATTTGTCATTGTCCTAAGTGTTTAGCGTGCCGCTCCTCCCGGTCACTGTAGCCCTCTGTAGCCTGATCAGCGCCGCTGCGCGTCTCCGTTGCAGAGCGTACCGCACCTTTCCCTTGCTGTTCTGCCACTGCCCAGAGTACAAGGAGCAGCACGCGCGTGACGCAGAGTACTTCCTCAGCGTAATCTTCGGCAGCTTGAGAGTTTAGTATTAGGACTAATGACAGTGATTTTTTTGTGCTCCTTCAGTGTAGGCAGGCTTTGAGTGTGGTGACTGTCGGCCGTATTTGTCAAGCGTGTTGTCTGGTGATCACTTCCCTGTAGTTCAGCAGCAAGTGCACTGTAGAATTTAAAAGATAAGCAAGAAGCTGATTCTGAAATCTTCGTCCTTCAGAATAAACATTTTCTCGTGGAACAGGATCAGTGTCAGTGAACTGAAGCGTTTGTAGAGCCTCTGCGGTGGCACTTTCAGAAAGCTCTGTAGTTAACAGTGAATCTGAGTGTCTGTACAAGTTGTAAAAGCGTGGACAGAGGGAAAAACAAGATCTGCGCTTCCGCTCCCACACATTTATTTTAAGGTATATAGTAAAGCTGTCATTGAGATTTTGTCTTTTTTTTTTTTTTTGATTTTTTTCTCCGGTACCGGGAACCGAACTCACGACCTTGCGCTTGCCAGGCAGGCGCTTTTGCCGCTGAGCTAAATCCCCAGCCCCTGTCATTGAGATTTTGGATCAGATGTGTAATACAGTGCTTTGTTTGGTCGTACAGGTGTATGGTAGTGTAGTATCTCTATTTCATTGTATGTTATGAGATACATGAATTCTGTCTAGGTTAAAACATTTAAGTAAAATGGAGAGTCTTGAAATTACTCTTAACCTCAAATTTTTTTGTGAGTACTCTTAGTAAGCCTGAATTTGACTCTCTGAATGCAGCCTACGTAAAGGACGTTGCTTGAGGACAGTAATGGAGGAAAGCTCTGGTCATGCAGTCTGACTGTAGAGCCTTTAGAGTATCAACCAGACTATTCAAAGTTGTCCTGCCAGTGGACGGAACTTGGGTATGGAGTGGAGGAAGCCTTTTAGGCAAAATTAAGATGAGGCGGTCAAGTGACCAGAACCTGATGGAAACCCAACAGCAGCTAATTAGGCTTTTACTAGAGAAACTCATTCTCAACATTCACAGGAAGAACTTCCATTGATAGGGTACAGTAGTCACAGTGAGCTTCAGATACAGTATGTCTAATATCCTGTATATGTGTCAGTTGCTACCCCTTTTCTTGGCCTGTATTGAGTTCACTAGGATACGTAAATTTTTTGCCCTTAAAATTCTGCTTTGTCTTAGAGTGCATTGTGTTTCTTTTCATTTTTCCCACTGAATCATTTTAAATGTACCTCCTTCCAGGAGCTATTATCTACTTTTGTGTATCCTATAATCACAGATCATAAAGTTTTACAAGGTACTTCCAAGTAATCTTATTTATTCATTAAATAAAAAGTAAATAAAACAAAACAATGATTAACTTTGATCCTAAATCTTTTCTAGGATGTTAGGAATTTACGATTTGCTCATAAACCTGAGGGGCGAACAAGAAGATCCATATTTGAGAATCTGATGAAATATGCATTTCCTGTCTCTAATAACCTGGTAACATTTTTCTATCTTTGAAAAGTGTATTTTATAATTATTGGTATATAGAAACTTGACTAGGTTATCAAGAATTTCCACATTGTACATTTAGCCAGATTTATAGTTTAGATTTAATCTAATCTCTTGCCCCATTTTCTTTAAATAAGAAAGGAAAAAGCTGGGCCAATTCATTTCTAAGGTTCCTTACAGCATTAACATTATATAGAGTTACATATATTCCTTTATAGGTGTTTCCGTTATGAAAAGCTATATGCAGCCTCCTCTATAGTTAAAAGCTGATAGTTAAGACTAGCAGTTTGGGAGGGAAAGGTGGGCAAATACTGAGTTCCTGCTTTGTGCTATCTGAACATTTTGTGACACTGTTAGCTCCTTCCTTAATGCTATATCGTTTCACTTCCACAGTTCCCCTGTTTAATTTAGAGATGAGACCAGGATTAGGGAAGCATTATCTCAAAGGCATAGCTAGTGGGCAAGTAGAATTTGGATCAACATTGATACTCTGACTCCAGTTTCGATTTCTTTTTAAAAAATTCTATTGTTTCTATCATTATGTCTGTAAAAATGGTATGTTTTCATACACAGAATACATTAAAAAAAGTTATCAGAGTGTTTTAGAAAATGCAGCATAGACTTCATAGCTGCTTAACTGTTGAGACTGTGATGTCAGACTACTTAATTATAGCAGAAAATGTCTTTTAAAAAATATTATATCTTCCATTATTTGCAGTTACGCTTTAAAAGCTTCCAAAGATACCTGAGTATATCAGATCATATGTTAGCATTTGATAAATTTTGTAGTTAGGTTTCCGTGCTTTTATGTATCCTTAAAAATATGTAAAGCATCATAAAATTTTCAAATATAATTTTCAGATATAATCTAAATATAAAAAGATGTCAGTATAAAAACTCTTGCAGATATATTCTGATTCATTACTTTCAGCTGTTAATTCTGTTAATTCTACTTACTGTTTTGTAGCCTCTGTTTGCTTTTGAATACAAAGAAGTATTTCCAGAAAATGGATGGAAGCTGTATGACCCTCTTCTAGAGTACAGAAGGCAGGTATGTATTGCTTTTCGTTTCAGGTTTTATAGTCTGTTCTTTTCATTATAAAAACACTTTCTGAGGAGAAGTAAACAGCTTCTTAGGTTTTGTTTTGTTCTTGTTTTTAAATAAATGCTAATCCTGATCGTCTGTCTTGTCTTCATTTTCTTTAAAGTACTTTCCAGAGTACATGAGGGATCTTTTATGAGTCTTTACTTATTTAAGAGTTTACAAGCATTAGTTTATTTCAAAACTATTTTATGAGTGCTAAAGGTAAAAATAAGAGAGAGATATATATATAGGGGGCTGGGGATTTAGCTCAGCGGCAAAGCGCCTGCCTGGCAAGTGCAAGGTCGTGAGTTCGGTT